AAAAACTAATGCATGAATTCCATTACAACATAACATTTTTATTGCAAAAATATGCAGCTGCACCTGCTACTGTATTAGCAGCAAATTAACAAACTGCATGCGTGCAGTTTCTCAGTGACTTTAAAACATCACCTCCACCATAAAACTTTCTGATGCTCCAAATACAGAAAAACATCCCTTACCAGGGTTTTTGAATAAATAAAAATATCAGAAAATAAGTTTAAATGTTAATAGTTAACATCACTTAAATGCAACAGCAAATTCTCTCATTGCTACAGAACATTTTCTCCACTTATGTGGTTATGATATAAGGCTGTTGCTGTAATTGGGAAGTGAACTGTTCTGGGCCAAACTAGGAGAAAATTAACATTTTCTGAGGGAAAGAGAAAAACAATTGTCTACCTTTCAGAAGAGGAACTGGCAAAAAAAAAAAACTACATGGAAAATATGTGAAAACGTTTGTTTTTAACCCCAAATTGAACAAGTTTACCTAGATCTTAAAAAGCAGCTCAGATGATGAAACTGCAACTATGATTCTGATAACAAGCTAACAAATTGAACTAGCTCCTCTTAAAAAAACCGGCTAGCAGAGCTTCTGACTGAGTTTATGTGCAGCAGCAAATCAACTATCCTGATTAACAAGGTTATAAAAGCTCATAAACAAAAAATCACTTTGATGTGTGGGGGAACTTTTCCAGGCCCTCTTTAGCAGGGTGGGACTGGGAGGAGAGTGCTGCTGTAGCCTTTTAGCTGGAAGCTAACCGGAGCCAGAAACCTCAGCACAAAGTGCGTTCGTTAATCTGAGATCTGAGCCAGCATGACAAACAAGGGAAGCGAGCGGAAAGCGGAGCGGAGATAGTGGAATTTTGGGGATACAGTCTGTGCTGGAGTGGGTGAACCAGGCGGCGGTACGGCGGCCCAAAGTAAGCGCAGCCCGGGAAGCTCCGCTCGGCAGCACAGTCTCCAACGCTCCGGTGTCGGCGCGCAGAGGAAGTGGTGGTGCCGAAAACAAGAGCGGTTATGTAAGGCTGGCAAACATCTCAACCTTCGGATGGAGACAGCCGAGCAGCGCGGGGCAGCTTGTAGGGGGCGGGCGTATTACGTGAACGGACCCATCTGATTGGCTGCATATCAGAAGGGCTACATTTGATTGGTCAAATAATACTTCCGTGTAAAAAACAGAGCTGGTTTACAAAAAGTTGATGTATGACACGGATGGAAATGTTTGAACCAAACATTTATCGCCGTTTTGGACGTGCTTTGCGATGGGCCTATCGCACGTCCTGTTATCGCGATGACGATAATTTTTCGATATATTGTGCAGCCCTACTGCTTTTTCACTTGAATGCTGGAGATTAGGGCTGCATGGTGAAGCAGTTGGCAGCAAGATGGTTGCAGGTAGCTGGAGCTTTTCTGCGTGGAGTTACCATGTTCTACCGATGCCTGCAAAGGTTCTCCTGGTGCTCCGGTTTGCCACTACAAACCAAAAACATGCATGTTCAGGTTAACTGATTACTCTAAATTGTCCCTAAGTTTGAGTGTGTGTGTGACCTGTCCAGGGTGTCCCCCCGTCTCTTGGTGACTGTTGGACACCAGCTCCCCTGTGACCCTACTGAGGAATAAGTGGTTAGAAAAACAAGTTGGTGCCTCAGATTTACAAATGTTAGTGTCACACAAGAAAAAAGGAATGAAATATGTAATCGTTGTTAAATAAGAGCATTTCTTAGGGGGAATGGGGTGGAAAACTGTGCGAGTTTTACTCCAGAATGTCTGAGGTTCCACTTTTATCTCAAAAGGCTGCAGGCCTCAGTCTTGGAGGAGTCACCAATGTGGCCCTTGGTGGACATTTTGACATAGAAAGTCTCCCATGGTGTCATATGTGCCCCCATGTCTCATTGATATTATGTAAGTATGACCTCCACAATTAACCCTAACCAAGGGCCTATGGTGCTTTGGATGTTGTTCTAGATCATTCTTTAGAATGGGACATTATGAGCTCTTTAGCCTACTATGTGTAGTTGGACAGGTTCTATTCAAATCATTTTTTAATTAAGCAGGTGTAGTAATCAGGCCAGGTTTGTTTGGGGGAACTGAACAGAATTTTCAAAGTAAAGTGGTAAACACTAAAATCTTGATTCTACAAGAGGGTTAGTTACTTTAGATCTGGGTTTGCTTGGATAGCCTTTTCCCTTAATAAATCAAATGATTATAAAACAGCAGGTTATCTTTAGCTGATCCTAAAACTAGCTTACTGATCTGAAACATTTAAGTGACAAAAAAGCAAAAACAGAATACATTTGTAACGGGGCAGATCGTCTTTTACAGCCCTGTGAAATAATGGTATGATGGGAAGATGTTTGTATTGCATCTTACTTTAGAAGGCATAGATTTATTAGCTGGTAATTACAAACATGCAGTACTCTTTGTTTGTAGACACTAAGGTGGAACTGGGGGAAAAAAAAAACATGAATCATGTTTTTTTCCCCAGAGAAACTTCGTTTTGCTCAAGTGTTTCTTCTATAGTGGTCTTCACCAAGTCTGCTCAGCGATTAGCAACATTTTCATAAAAATATGGAAAATTGAGTTTTAATTGTGGGTTCTATAAAAATGCCTAGCTTGCTAAAGTCCTTCGGTCAGAACAGATTTTCAGTGTCAGCTTTTGTCTTTGGTTCAACAATGCAGATTGAACAAGTCCATACTTTGTTATTTTTGGTTGTGTTCCTGGAACTGTGGTTGAATTTCATCCAGGTGACTGTCAAACTATTTATTCTCTTAGGAACACACACCAATACACACCATACCACAACAGAACCTGGAGTTTAATTAAATAGGAATATTTATTTTGTCACGATTGCCACAAATCTAGCTATACACACCTAACTGCTCAGCTTTTTTAAAGATGGGATATGAAATGTCTGACGGGACATTTTAGGTGGGTTTTTTCTTTTGGCGTTTCGACATCGCCACCCTTCTGATGCAGTGACTCATTCTATAACTCTGATTCTGTCACTGCAAATTCTCAGAGGTGGTATGAGTGCAAGACCACTTTCAGATGGGATTAAACCACCCTCTCACACACACACACACACACACAGTTGTCGTCGTCGTCCCCCCACCCCAGTCTTTCTTTCAAGAAGACATGAGGAGAATGGGTCTTATCACATCTTCTGCAGTAGGTGTTAAAGGGCTGTGAACCTTATCTGATCTGGTCTGATAGCTAAGAGAATAAATCAGTCTGGATCATGTGGAGTTGTGTAAACAGTGCAGGTGACTCAGGAGAGAAGGCATACCTGCTTGCGTGTAAAAGACCAGTTTTGTTTGTTGCCTTGGCCTTTAGCACCAGTACAGCAGGTTTAGCTCCCAGATGCAGCTTTCTTTTTCTTATTTAGGTCATGACTGCTTTGGTTTTGGGCTCCTGTCTTTATTTAATGCCTTGTATCACAGGTGATTTCATTTTTTGTTGGTAGAAAAAATTCTGTTGAATTTTAAAGCTGCCTGTTAAAATCCAACTTCATCGTCGTGCCATTTTATTGATTGCTCTTCAAACGGAATCATTCTACTGAGTTAATCTCATTAGCGGTGTGTGTGTGTGTGTGTGTGTGTGTGTGTGTGTGTGTGTGTGTGTGTGTGTGTGTGTGTGTGTGTGTGTGTGTGTGTGTGTGTGTGTGTGTGTGTGTGTGTGTGTGTGTGTGTGTGTGTGTGTGTGTGTGTGTGTGTGTGTGTGTGTGTGTGTGTGTGTGTGTGTGTGTGTGTGTGTGTGTGTGTGTGTGTGCGTGTGTGTGCGTGTCTTCCTTCGGGCACTTCTATAAGGCAGTAATTTCCTCCTGTTGCAGGGCACAACAATTCAGCCAGCTAAACCACAGCGAGAGGTGCCCCATCATCACCACATAGACGCTGAAACACACCTCCTCGTTAGGCTTGTGCCTGGAGGGCAGACACATGCTCTGCTATTATCTTGTCACACACACACACACACGCGCACACACACACGTCAACAGAAAAAAACAGAGGAAAGAGGCTGTCATTATCTGCAATTGAGCTTAGAAGACTAGAAAGAGAAATCTGACAAGTCAGACTGCGAATAAGATTGATTGTTTAAAGAAACACTTCACACACCGTGCTATTATCCCACCCTCTGCACATTAGCTGTCTTAATATGTTCCTGCTTTGTCTAATTTGTAAGACATAAAGTAAATGCTGTCCTTTGCTGCTCTTACACACAGTGACACAAGTGGAGGAGGAATGTGTTGCATTAGGTAAATGTGTCCCCAGACTCAGAGAACAAGCATTCGTCCCTCGGCAGGCCTGTTAAACATTCCTTGCCTGTCTCTCACGTTTGGACAGAGCGACGTGAGAGCGGCTCCGCTGTAGGCTGCCTTTCACCCCGGCTAACTCCACCACACAAACACAAACAGCAGTGTCACTGCAGGCTCCCCTCTGCCAACATGCAGGCTGCATGCCAGCTACGCAGAAGGCCTGTGTGACCGAGGTGTCGTTTGTTTATGTTCATGTGGTGGAGATGGGTGGGTGGGGGGTGTCTCAATCTTAAATGGTTGTTAAGGGTTCCCCCACCGGACCCCCACCTTTTCACTTGTTGTTTGTCAGCGGTATCGCTACATCCCCAGACAAATCGCTCTGTAATCAGCCTCCGTACAAGTCAAGTGCCAGCTATTAAATACACCGTTAGCCTAAAGTGCAAATTGAGTGCTGCAGATGAACGGCTCGTGGGTTCTGTTTGGAAAGCGAGCCGGGAGAGAGGCTCTCAGTATTGACAGTATTGATCCTGGCCTAGCTTAAAGGCTGGCTGGATTTATGCACTGCAGCCTTTTCAGATGTGTGGATGCTGTTTGTCAAACTGGAGATCTAATCGTTGCCATTGATCAGAATCATTTTTACACTGGGGAGGGGGCTTGTTTATTTAAAAGGTTTGGAGTTTTTAAACATGCTAATGGGTGGTTTCCTTTTGATACTAACATATTTGTTTCTTTCATTTGTTTCAGAAATCTGGGCCACAATAAGCTGACGTCCATCAGCATGGAGGCTTTTGCCAGTCTTCGTAACCTGAGTGAATTGTAAGTAGCTTCAGAGAAAATGGCTCAAACAGTTTATTTTTATTTTTATTTTAGTCCATTTTTGTCAAGTGTGAGAGGTTTGAGTCCAGAGCAGTATCTCCTCTGCTCTGTGTTGCCTTGAACTACATCCAATTAAGAATTAAGTGGTGGTTTTCTATATTAAGCCTTTCCTCCACCACCCGATACTGTGGCCAACGCTGGCCTTGTAAATATTTTATATGGTGAGGAGAGGGCCTGGCCTTGTGTCACTCAGCACTGGCATACAGGACACACACACATACAGGCAGAGGCTAACTGATAATACACACACTGGTGACATCTTTGACAGGCCAGCCCACCAGTCATACGCTCCTGGACATCTGTTTTACTCCTATGTTATTTTTGGTTTTTACAAGGATGACTTGCCACTTGCTCTGCGGCAGACGTGACAAGTTGTATTTGAAATCCTTTGATTTATGCACAGATTGAATTCAGCTTCATGTGTTTGTGATAAGAAGAACAAGGTTCCTTTAAATTTTTTAGAACCTTTCAGATATCAGGTCACCATTCCTCCAAACACCACCTAACACTTCCGTGTGTTTCTCTTGTTCTCTGACCTGCTGTTTGTCACTTGCAGGCGTCTGGATCACAATGAGCTGACCTCCATACCAGATTTAGGGCAAGCTGCTTCCAAAGTGGTGTCCCTCTACTTGTGAGTATTTCTTAGCCTCTTTCAGAGATTCTGTTACTGTGTTAATGGACTTCTGTCCTGGCTAACGGTGGCGTTAGCTGGTTATGCATCTACAGCAAGTGATGCTGCCTGTGTGGAGCTGGGTTGTTCCCAGTTGTGAAACGGTGCCTGTGGGGACTGCCTGCACCAACATCTCAGTGGAGATTTACAGCCGTATTTGGGAAGGGCGTGTGCTTGTGTGTGTCACAAATGTGAGCTTAGCAATCCATCAGCACTCCAGCTTATTTTTTATTGTAATAAAAAAAGTTGAAACGGTGAAGTTACTTCAATTTATGCAGGTTAACTTTGGAGGAGCGTTTGAATCCTAAGATGTGCTGAAATATTTCTGCTATGGCTTAAGATGTCTTAAATAATCCAGACCAACTGTGTCTCATCATCTTCAGGCATATAGACGTTTAGGCCGTATGAAAACATTTATCTAAACGAAAGGGGTAAAAAAGTAGCACTCATAAATGTTCTTCAGTGTATTTCTCATCCAGTGCTACACGTTAGCTTTACTGTATATTTAGTTTCACACCTTGCCTGCCTGTGTGATAGTAAAGTGTACAGCTGCTGCTGCGTGTCATGTTTGGTCATCATCGTATCGTTTTCAGCGGTGAGCTTTGTGGTAGTCACACTCCAGCCTCTCCCTGGTGTGTCATCTGCCTGCTTCTCAGAACTCATGGTGATGCACTAATGTGGTCATAATATTTCTGTATGCTGTAGACGGCAAAAATGTAAGGGTTGATGGTTGATCATGCAATTCGTGCAATCCTAATTTGGTTTTGCTTTTATTGTGTGATTTGATATTTCTGTCCATCTAAATCAGTATAATTTAAGTTTCTGCTGCTCAAAAACCAACAGGGAGCAAGTTCACCTTTACTCTCCCACAGACTGTGGAAAGTGGACGACCCTCCAACAGATCAGGCTGTCTTTTTTTGGCCTGACTTGAAGCCTGTTGCTAGGGAGGAAAGCCTGCTGTCCTGATGGGAGTGGAGGCTGGAGGGAGGGTCGGATTTTTACAAAGCTACGCAGCTGAAGTGACAGCCCGCTGAAGCACTTGCAGCTGCAGCTGTCAGTCACATGGCTTACAGTAAAACTGGTAACAGCGAGTAAGGGAGGAAGGATGAGAAAACGGGGAGGGAGTCATGCATAAAAGATCTGAACGGGGTCAGATCAGGATGACATCACTGGTTGTGGAAGGAGGTACGATTAAGGGAGCGTTGTAGGAAGTAGCGCGGTAAGGATGGTACCGAGAGCTGGAGTGAAGAAGGAGTTAAAAGTAGATCCATCACAGTTGCCAACCAGTAAGCCTGCTGGAGTGTTTCTGTATGCACTGGCAGAGGCAACACTGTCCCAGTGCCACTGGTTAGAGATCGTCTGGAATGTCGTCTGACAGCAAGTTTGTGTGAGACAGTGGCTAACACACACACACACACACACACACACACACACACACACACACACACACACACACACACACACACACACACACACACACACAAATGAACAGAGATTTCCATCTTCTGGCGCTCATCAAACAGTAAATGTTTTCTAACAAATTTTTCTATGTGGCTGCTACTGTCTGAGAGTCGGGCTGCACCTGAGTGTGTGTGATAGGTAGTCTGTGTTTACATGAGCTGATTAACCAGCTCTATCGGTCATTTCCACTGGACGACCACACTGTCTCTGCACGAATATCAAACTGTCTCTCTGACATATCAAAATGGATGAAATCCCACCTTCTCTAACTCAACCTCTCTAAAACTGATCTACTTGTCATCCCAGCAAAACCATCCATACAGCACAATATCTCAATCCAAAATGACTTCCTATCTCTGGCTCCTTCAAAGGCAGTTTGAAATCTGGATGTTGTTATTGATGAACACCTGACCTTTAAAGATCATGTTGCCTCTGTTGCTCGTTCATGCCGCTTTGCGCTGAATAACATACAAAAGATCAGACCATACCTAACACAACATGCCACCCAGCTCCTGGTGCAATCTACTGTCATCTCCCGCCTCAATTAATGCAATGCCCTTCTAACTGGTCTTCCAGGCTGTACTGTGAGACCTCTTCAAATGGTCCAGAACGCAGCGGCACGTCTGGTCTTCAATCACACACACACACCCTAACCCTAACCCTAACCCCTCTGTTCATTGAGCTCCACTGGCTACCGCTAGCAGCACGCATCAAATTCAAATTGCTAACACTAGCATACAAAGTCCGAATGGTACGGCTCCCATCTACCTGAATCCTCTTGCAAAGGCTTACGTCTCGGCCCGGCCGCTCCGGTCATCACAGGATTGTCGGCTAGCAGTGCCTACACCACGCTCAGGACAATCCAGACTCTTCTCATGCATCATTCCACAAATGTGGAATGACCTACCACGCACTACCAGAGCAGCGGCTTCTTTTTCGACTTTCAAGAAACTCCTGAAGACCCTGCTCTTCAGGGAGCATCTTCTAAACTAGCACCCTCCCTGCACCCGTCCCCTTCTCTACTGTCCACTCCTTGTTCCCTCCTCTCCATGATTCATCATGCTGCCTCACTGCCACCTACGACTGACTGGAAATTGTTTGTTGTTGTTGTTATAGTTGTTGTTAGCCTCAAGGGCAAAATGCCGATTATCACTTGTAAGTCGCTTTGGACAAAAGCGTCTGCTAAATACATAAACATAACCAGGGATTTTAGTTGGGCTCCTTTCAAATGTACAGGAGCAATGGAAGGATGGGAGTTTGTACCAGCTTTCAAAAGCTGTTGAAGTAGCTGAATCACACGTTCCCACCCTCCTAAGAGGTCAGGCCATTTATTAGTAACTGTCCTTATTTTTCCTTAGAAAGGACTACTGAAGAAATCAACTCCATTAGAGTAAACGGCTCAACAGTTTGTTTAAGCGACGAGGAGCCATCCAAACACCATATGCCCAGCTCCCACAGTCGCACAATGTCACTGGCAGACCTGCGGAGGTCCTGCGGGCTCCCAGAATGCCACAGCAGGATGGCACAAAAGAAAGAAACAACAAAACGTTCTAAAAACACGGTGTCAGGGTGACAGCAGAGCAGCACAAATTTTCCCATTGTACTCGTCTGCCGCCCGGTCAGCATCAAAGGGGTCTTTTTAAAACAGCTCTGGATAAAACTCAAACGGCCCAATGGATGATCTGGTTTTCTTTTATTCTCCTTTTGTCCTGGTCGCCAGCATCAAACAGAAAGAGACGTTGGGGACATTCCACCTTAAGGATGACATTGGAAACGGGGGAATGACCTTGCTAGTGTAAACACCCCCCTGGTGCACTTTCCATACATCAAAAGAAGTGTCAAAATGAGCCAGGCTAATCGGATGGTCAGTGGGGCAGGGTAATGAGATTTAGAATTAAGTGGAATCAAGCCGAATGAGGCCCCCGCACATCAAAGACAACAAGAGCCAACCAAGCTCGTCTCTACCGAGTGTGTCATCGGCCGGCCGCATGATAATCACTGTTTATAAACGCTGAGATTGTGTATGTGGACTTCAAACGCGTTCAGCGCTGAGGCTTTTTATCCGTCTGTAGCACGCCACTGGGATCTGGCTGTGAGGGGGCATGTGGTTAATGTGGAGAAAGAGTTAGCAGCGAATTGCTTCTCCCACAAGTTTGAGTCCGATCTGTTTTTCCCACCAAAAGGTCACCAGCTGTTGACCCCACCTCACCCCTTAATCCCACCCCATCCTTCTTTTTTCTCCTCCCTCCCTCCCTCCCTCCCTCCCTCCCTCTCTCCCCTTCTTCCTTTGCTCCTTTTGCTCACTGTAGCTGCTGCCTGTTGCTCTGTCGTGTGTGTGTGTGTGTGTGTGTGTGTGTGTGTGTGTGTGTGTGTGTGTGTGTGTGTGTGTGTGTGTGTGTGTGTGTGTGTGTGTGTGTGTGTGTGTGTGTGTGTGTGTGTGTGTGTGTGTGTGTGTGTGTGTGTGTGTGTGTGTGTGTGTGTGTGTGTGTGTGTGTGTGTGTGTGTGTGTGTGTGTGTGCGCGCGCGCACTCATCCTCAACCATTTCTACCACTGTTTATTCAGGTGGGCCACTGTGGTGTAACCCCTCCCCCTGTCAGACACCCGTGTGTGTGTGTGTGTGTGTGTGTCTCAGATGGCTTAAAGCCAAAACGGAAGTGGGGACTGACCTTTTTTCATGAGTTTGGCCAGTGGAACACCTGCTCTTCCTCTTCTCTTTTTATCACACACACACACACACACACACACACACACACACACACACACACACACACACACACACACACACACACACACACACACACACACACACACACACACACACACACACACACGCGCCCTGTGAAGAGTTACATTTTCAGATTTGTCTCACTCTGAGTAGTTTGACTCTCACCGTCGCTGTTCACATTTTGGTCGGACACCAGTTGAATTTATTAAGACCTTCCAGCACAAGTGTTTTATTTTATCAGCACTGGAAGATTTCCTGTTTCCTAAATACATTTGTTTCAAAAGGAAATGGCAAACTGATCCTAACAAGATAGAATGTCTAAAGTGAACATGTGTACTTTGAGGGCAGAAAACAAATATAATTTTTTATTTATTAATTTTTTTCATCCTGCCTTTAGCTTTTTCGCGGTACTTTTTATTTCAGCATAAGAGACAAGAGGTTGATGACACTGGCTGGGTCCAGGAAAAGGTCGTTCAGATCCGAGCATGGAACTTTCTTCTCTGACTAGTTGTAGGCTGTAAAAGAAGCCATCGTCTTATTTTAGTCATTTGGATTTTTGGGGGTTTTCAAAGCAAATTTTATTTATTGTAATAATCCCACTTCATTTGACAATCAACACTAAATTGGCCCAACACGGCTCACCTCGCCTCGCCTGACAAAACAAAGTCCAGACAGAAACGTTACTGGTGTCTAAAGCCTGTTTTTCAGATCAGCTTGACAGGAAGTGATTTTTTTCCCCTCTGTTTTCACATCAGTTGCATCTTTTCTAGATGTTTTACATTTGTTTTTGTAGTTTGTTCTTGTAGTTGTTGATAAAGGACGGTGCTTTTTAGAAACACGCAGCTGTCATTCCGTTCCGTCACAAATTCAGCCTTAATCCTTGGAGTTGTTTACAGAAAGCCAGCTTCTGTTTGGAAACTCTCAAAGGATGCAGCGTGTGGCGGATGGAGACCACTTTGTTCTGTGTACTCTGCTCTCTCTGTGCCTGAGTGGGCTTAGAGAACCCAGGAGGATTCATCTGCCCCCCCCCCCTACTTTGATTTATGCAGCACACAAACACCTACCAGGGTAGGAGCTGATCACACCTAATGTTGTGTGTGTGATCTTTGTTTTCCAGACATCATAATAAGATCCGGAGTATAGATGGCCAGCGGACGAGGGAGCTGGTCTCTTTGGAAACCCTGGACCTAAGTAATAATGACATCACTGAGCTACGAGGACACTGTTTTCCTGCGGGGCTTCGAATCCGAGACCTGTAAGTATCTAAGGAGGTTTGGAAACGGAAGTGTTTTTCATCAACGTGTTTGAGGTTTTGATGTGACTCTGTGTGTTCAGGTATCTTAGCAACAACAAGATCCGTATGCTGGATGTGGGAGCTCTGGATCATCTGGCCTCAACCCTACAGATCCTGAGACTGAGCCGAAACCGCATCAGCCAGATCCCCATTCGGGCCTTCCAGCTTCCAAGGCTCACCCAGCTGTGAGTTCCTCCGTGTGTCTGCAGAGTTTATCTATGACATTTATGTTTGGGTTGAAAAGTCCTCTGTCCTTTGGAGGTCTAGACGCGTTAAAAGATTTCAGAGTTTTTAGGTGCTATTGCGCTGTGTGTGTGTTTAACATTTTGAACGCTGTTAGTGTGAGCTCTACCTCCAGGGGTGGATAAGATCTGACAAGGTAAACACCAGAGTCATATTATTAGTGATTTATTGCCATCTTCCATCTCCCCAAAGTGGTTTGTTCTATCCCCACATCATGCTCCATTATCTTCGTCAAACTTCCCTCCAGCACAAAAGTGAGGCCATTTGTAGATCAACACCTCCGCCTGGTATGGCAAAGCCATTCGAGTAATGGAAGCCCCCCCCTCCCAGCGCTTTTGTTGAGCAGGTGGTTCTGGTGACACTGTATCTTCACAGGATAGCGGGGATGCACGTTGGGCACAAATAACCTGTATGGATGTTTATCTTTGTGAGCCATGGGGGGGGGGGGGGGGGGGGGGGGGGGGGGGATTTACAACCTTTAAACACACACGCACACACACTCCCTCTCAGCACCTGTACAGCTCATTGTTGGATATGTAGCCGAGTGGTTCAACTTACGATTTCAGAACAAAGACAGGACCTCCTAGAGGAACACGAGGTCCCAGCTGCTCTGCTTCTGCTCTGTGATCTCCATCCATGTTGTGGGCCTTAGATTCTGTGTTTGACTCCACAGCGAGCTGAGCCGGAACCGAATCCATCAGATTGAGGGTCTGACCTTTCAGGGTTTGTCCAGTTTGGAGGTGCTGAAACTGCAGAGGAACAGCATCAGCAAACTGACGGATGGAGCCTTCTGGGACCTCTCCAAGATGAAAGTCCTGTATGTAAAAGCACGAGCTCCTGAGTTAGCGCTATAAGTCAAATGTGTGTGGGCACTTCTGCTCACAATCTCATAGTATTTTTGCAGTAATGGTCACAAAAGGCATTCAGAAGTATGCCGTGTGTGTTTTACCTGAAACTGTTGCTGAACCACCTTCCTGTCCTGCAGACACCTGGAGTACAACAACCTGACGGAGGTGAACAGTGGCTCCCTGTATGGCCTGAGCTCTCTTATGCAGCTGTTCCTCAGTAACAACTCAATATCCCACATCAACCCTGATGGATGGAAGTTCTGCCAGAAGCTAAAGGAACTGTGAGTACCAGCATGTAAATGAGCCCCAGCAGCAAATCTGTCACCAGAGTGGTTTAAGTTACTTAAACTTAGGAGTTTGAGTTTAACTTTCAAGGATCCTGCCGTTTCCTTCCCGTCCTGTGTGAGAACCCAGCAGCCTTCCTCAGGGTTAAGTGACATTTTGCTTTAACGCTCCGTGAGCTTTGGTTTTCCCAGGATAAGCCTGTTTATCCCATAATTAGAGCCAGGCTCAATGGCACACAAGCCCTCCAACAAGAGTTTTTGTGCTGGGTTCTGAAGCGAGGGGTTTTGGCTAACCGGCGTATAATCCTCTCTTGTTTGTGTTGTGATAATTACACTCCAGGATCACCTTCACCGCTTTTGTCTACCAAGTTATTATCTGAAAGTCTCTCCGGTGCTGTTGACGTGAGTGTCGTAATGCTGCTTTAAAGTGCTTCACTCAGCTCAGGCGTCGCTTATGCAGATGCAGCGCGGCTCTTTGTGGCGCCTGTGCTTGTTTACGTGCAACAATCTGACGGGATTAAGTGCTGGATGGTGTACACTCGAGTTTGCTCTGTGTATCTCAGCGCTGCTTCCTGTGTGCACATCTTATGAATGGCAGATTGCTCCCTGCACCGCCCCGGTTACTGGGTTTTTATTATCTGGTTATGATGACCCACACGGCTGATAGAAGTGAGTGGTCTTTATGAGGAGCCTGTTATTGCATTCCCAATGTGCCTGGCTGAGCTGGTCATGGGGGGGGGGTGGGGGGGATCTCTGCACACCCACGACCGCTCAAGCAGACCTGAAGGCCGTCCACAGAGTCAGAGGGGGCAATAAAATACATAATACTGATCATTATTCAGGAGTCATTGTGTAAAAGCACTAAGTAAAAGTTTTTGTCGGCTCTTGTTTGTATGTGTCGTGTTGGTTTTACATCCCATCTGTGTAACTGAGGTTTACCACAGGCCAAAGTAGGTTAATAAAGAGGAGATAACAGACATGTAGAATCCCAACCCAGAATATTTATTCCCTGGTCAGTAATCAAGATTGGTGGTGCTGAGAGGTCTGCTAAAACAGTTATGTTAACATCTTGTAATGGGGAATAGGACACAGTGGAAAAAGACATCATGGAGTCGCAGGATGATTCTGAATCAACCGTGAAATCTGAGTTTAACGATGTTTCAAGCTGTCGTCTTCATCCAGACCTCACAGCAAACCTGTCTCTGTCTGTGTGTCCGTTTCTCTCCAGGAATCTGTCACACAACAACTTGACTCGTCTGGATGAGGGAAGCCTGGCTGTCCTGGGGGATCTCCACATTCTCCGGCTGGGACACAACTCCATCAGCCACATCAACGAGGGAGCTTTCAGGGGCCTCAAGGCCCTGCGCGTCCTGTAAGTACACCACCTCAAGCACCATTACCAAGCCCTGAAACGACCCCTGACCAGCCGCTTATTAAAGTTTTGGTCCCGCTCTGGGGAGCAGTGAAAGCTGAGCTGTTTCATATTGGTGTTGCCTGTGTGATATCTGATCTTTCAGCTCAGGTATCCACTCCAGTTGACTTTACAAAGTGGGGCTTATTTACACTTCAGCATCTTACTTGCATCCATTACTTTTACTTGGTGATTTTAATGTGTGTTTTAAACTTTGAGCCTTTAGTTTAATTTTGCATCCGGACCAGCTTGGACCTGAAAGCCTTTCGTGTTGCCTGGATTTCTGAAATGATCCCCCTTTAAAAGCCGAAGAAAGACAGAGAATTCTTTTCCTTCCATCTTTTGCACAAAAGACAAAAGTAAAGAAAAGGAAAGAAGCAAAGAAGAAAAGTCTTTGGCTAAATCTATCAGGTGGACTTGGGGGTCTTGGCTCCTCTACGTCCCAGAGCTCCTTTCAGCTGCACACAGGTCTACTGTTCCTCAGCAGGAAGACCGGGTGCTAGTCTTGGAAAATGTGTCACGTTTGCCTCACCGTTGCAGTTCTTTGAAATGTTTTTTCTTTTCTTGTTAAACTTCCACCTTCTGTCTTTCAACGCAGGCCTAATCTAATCAGTGGAGGGGAGGCTGGGTGTAGGCAGGGCCCTG